ACTCTGGGTAGTTTGATATCCAGGTTTTAATTTTTGACGACAGACTTGACCCAATTTTTGGCATTTTATAAATTTGTTTATATTTTTTTACGTAAATTATTCGTAATGAAACTATCACGACACTAACCAATTTAAGAAACACTCAAACACAAAGTCAGACAGAAACTAAAGTGCTAATGGCCGGAGATTTCATTCATTATCTAATTAGTAGTTGCTATCATTTATTTTTACCACGAAACACTAATAAATTTATGTTATTCTAAGAATATTAGCAGCTTGGGCTCACTTTTTCCTTTTGTATAGTTGAAAACTGAAATAAACAAATATTTACGTACATACCTGTATGTAGGTAATATAATTGATACCTACCTGGCTACCTATATTATCTAGTTTAATTTTAAAAATACAGAATATGCAATTTCATGCAACGAAAATCAAAATCATGCAATTTAGAATAAAAAGTGCAAAACGTGCAATTTCGTGCAAAATAAAACTACGTTTAAATTAATCTGCTTCTCATGATTCGGATTTATAATTTGTTTTTATATGATTTAAAACAAAGGAAAAAAAAATTGCAATTGCACGAGAATCCGGTCTCTAGTTATAATAATGGAATTTAAATTATAATCACAACTTCCGCAAAACATTGAATAAAATTCTCAGGTAGGGGGTAAATTCCACTGTTGCTCTCCTCCTCAAATACATCACTAACAGTCTGGTGTGGCTATTTTATTATTGTCATCGTTTTATTCTGAAGGTAATATGATATTGATTCCAATTATGGTATGTACTGGGAAAGATATTTCCAAATAATGCTATTTTCTGTTAAATATATATGTAATAAACACTTCAGAAGTATAATGATTTTAAATAGATCTAGGTATAAATATAATGAGAATGGAACTCTGGTTATTTATAAACAAAGTAGATTTCAATAGTAGAACAATTTCACGATGCACATTTAACCAATCATCCCGGTGTATTATAAATATTTTCATCTCAAAAATGTAATTCCTTAATATACAAGCATAATTCAAATTCAAATGTCTTCATAATACTAAAATTATTAAATAATCGTATTAGAATTGCTACATACAATAATATATTATTGAATTAATTAGAAATGGTTCGGAAGTCAAATATTGTTTATTAACAATTTGTGTTTCAATTGTCTTGGTAACTCCGTTCTCCTTATCGTATAAAAGTAAAAAATATCCTTTATACATTACTTTGTTTATAAATTATGATCTCAATACTTCGGTGGATACATATTTTTATATTTTTAATCGAGATAAATAGTATTGTGTTCAGAAGTAGAACTTTAGAAATTTAAAAACTTAAAATTAAAATAAGTCAGGCATTTTTTTGAACGTTTAAATATATGTCAGTAATTTGTAGACTCGCATAAGATGTTTTTGTTTGTACATTTATTATATATAGGTACCTGATTCTTACACAATGCGGCAACCGAATCTTCGGTATTTATAGCAGTCGAGTAAGCGATTCCAAGAATGGCCAAACATTCTGTTATATTATAACAACATATTGTGCATAAATTAGTTATTGTTATTGCAGTAACTAGTTACTCAGGTATAGTTATATAGTCATCGTTATGGCAGAATAGTTTTGTTTTTCATCCCTAACTTTTAGGTATGTTTGTCATTTCAAGCAATAACGAATCGATGTAGATCGTGTAGAGAACATAACTATATTACAAATTTCATATTAATTGTACTAAGTTATATTTGCTAACAGCCATGTATTAATTTTCTACAAAAAACTAATATTAAAATTTTCACAAATTTAGTTAAAACTTAATTAAAGTTAAAAAAGATTTTTTTATTATCTTTAAATAATTCAGAATTATTAGTATAATTTTTTTTTAATCGCTCAATTTAAATTGATTTCACTTTCATACTACATAGACAATTAAAAAGGTTGAAAGGTTGAAAAGAGTATAAAAAAAACTAGTTGTTTTTAAATTGTCTCCAGCTCTAACACGAGCTTAAAAGTTATCACTTTTAAGCTCGTGTTAGATAACAAATATTTTTTTTTACTGAATCTCGTTGATCATTTTACATTTGCCATACTTTTCGCTCCATATTGAAAGAAAATATTAAAAAAACATCACGTAAACTGAACAATCGTACATTTGTACAGTACAGGTACACAACTGCTATTGTTGCAATAATTTCGCGGAACAAAAAAAAACAACTTTTTATTTTTTAATTTTGTTTATTTCACGTACATATAACTGGTGACAATTCGCTGTATAATTGTACTGCGTAATTTATAATATATGTTGTTTTTACATAGATGTGCACTTGATATACGTAACTAACTGTAATTGTATATATGTATTAATACATAAATAACATATTAGGTGATCAAATAACAACAAAATGTCATGTTAATTGTCATATCGCATTTTTGAGTATTAACTGTGTTAAATGTGATTGTTGTTATTCATTGTTTCCATTATTATTATAATACGCATTTGCTATCGATAATATTAAAATGATATACGGGTAATTTATATGTAATATTAAAGTGATATGCAGATAATTTATATCTAATACATTTCGAATGCGTTTTGAAATGGTCGATAAACTAATGCAAACTAAGTCAGAATCGAACACGTTCAAACCTATCGCGAAATACCTACGTCAATTGCTACCGACATAGAAAATGCACTCGGAGACCTCAGCGACGTACTAATCGGAGGAGACCTGGTCTGCGGCTTCGTGTTGGCTGTACAGTAGATTTCTCCCCTCGTCCTATTTTTAGAATCCAATTTTTGTGTGCGACATGTCAAATTTAGAGTGAACCGTGGAATTCATTGTTTTTTTTTAAATTTTGTACTATATTTTATGGTTTTTTGAAAGTTATAATTTTTCATAAATTCAATCAAATTTTTTGTCTTCCGAAAAACAAAAAACTGTAGTGAATATGTTTTTGAAGATGGTGTGATTATTTTCATTGTATTCGGATAGTATAAGACGGATAAAGAACAGTTTTTCGACCGCGCAAATCATCGTTACGTTTAAACGTTTAAAACCCACGTGAAAAATTACTTTATCTTTTCTTATTTTGTCTGGATGAATGAGACCGCAGGAAAGATATAAAATCGCTGAACGGACGGATTTATATTGATCACAAGTACCTTGATAAATATCTTACTTCATATAGAATTAATATATATTATATTCGACCCAACAAATCAATGTATTCAATTAATTATATTAATAGTACAGCCAATACATAGTTTTTCCCACCCTATAGATGCATAAATGGTCAGGGACGCTCCGAACCTACACGCTGTTCGAATACAGATGTTCCTGTTTTATATATATGTGTGTGTATCGTTGTGTATATTTTGTTGTACGCCACACACTATAGAGTAATTGACGACTTCGATAGACAAAAAAGAGATACGGGAACGGGTGAATAATATTGCTGTATTGTTCATTTAAAACCATTTTTACATGATTGTATTTTAATCAAATTTGTTTCAATTTTTATATTGTTGAAACCAATACACCATTGAACCCGAAACAACGGTTTTGAATGAACCAATGATCAGTTTATAATGCTGACAATGGTTGACGTATACATATACTCGTATATATTAACATATAGTAGTAGAACCAAAATTCATAAGGTACGTAAAACTTTTAATCGAACATTTCAAATGTTTAAAATTATATGAAAATTGCGAATTGTTTTCTGAATAATAATTAGTATTCTATATAGTTCAATGGAATTGTACGTGACCAAATACTAAAACGATCTCGGTTAAAGTTTTTCGCAATTATTCGGACGAACGTAGAGGAATATTATCCCCTGAGACTATCAATTATATACCATTTCGTGTCAGACCATGGTTCGGAGCATAAAATTGGTAAAAATTGGGTACACATATATATACCTATATAATATATAGGTATATATAGTATAAATATAAAAAAAAACATAACCAAACCAATACATTTTTCGTTTCAGATCAAGGGCATACTTGAGGAGGGGAGGGGGCATTTGTCCCCCTCATGGCTCGTATTTTTTTTTAATATAATACAATGATTTATTTAAAAATATATAAATAATTAAGAATATAAATTACTAGTCTATCATTATAATATGATAATAAATTCAATAATATATCAATTTCATCACGGGTATCAACTTTTATTTATCTTCTTATTATCATAACATTTTTGGTGGTGGAACGAATATTATCTTCCACGGATATTGCTATAGTTATAGACATCAACAACTATTACCAAGGTATTTATCAGATAATATAAAGTAATTTAAAGTAACACTTTTTTTTACCACATATTTACTAGTTTGTCATTTTTTGGTTAATTTATACATATTGTATACTTTTGTATTTATTAAAGCTATAAAAGTCCTCAATAATTTTACTCGCCTATTTTTTTTTTTTACAACATAATATTTGGTAATTTTTGTTGTGCATAGGTATTTAGTCATTTTTTGGGCACAAATGCATGTATATTTGTGTATTTTATAGAGTTAGAAGTCCTAAGCCAAATAATAATTATAAAAACTGACAATATTTGTTTCCATATTTTTTAACTTGCAAATATTAGCCAAAAATATATTTTTGTATATTGAAAACATGGTGATGAAAACATCAAAAATAGGCCAGTATAGACTAACAGGTTTGGCTTTGCTGCATGTGCATAAAGATATTGTTATATCCATTGATTAAATAATCAAAAATTTGTCAAAATGAAAAAAAGAAATTTGGAATTTATTATTTGACTACTTACCAATATTATGTTTTCTACTTAGATATTTATTAAATAAAGTTACCTATCTTAATTGTTTTTGAAAGTTTTAAAAAGTAATTAATAGGTACTATTCCTACTATGATTATTTGTTTTTTTTACACAGGATTCAGACTGAAGGTACAATTTTAATATAGGAACTATTTGTGTTGTTATTATTAATACTTATTTTATATGCAGTAGATTTTAAATATATTTATTGAGTAAATATTTAATTCAATTTGGTACTTGTATTTTTATTTATTCACTTGAATGCGTAACAGGAATATGAGCATGGGTAGGTAATGAGTTATAAATTATTTTTAAGTTTGTATTAAAGGAAAATTAGTTTTGCTCTCCCCCTCCATGGCCTCGACTAAAATACGCCCTTGTTTCAGATAAAAGTCGGTTAAGTCCAGTTTATTAAAAAACTAAGTGTTTGTTATTTTTTAGACTGGACAGCTGACGGTCGTCCCAGGGACTACTGACGGAGCACGATTCGATTTGTGTGTGAGTCACTATAATAACTTGCGTGTTACGAAATGGAGTGTTGGTTGTATACATTTGAAAACCATGATAAATCATCATATTTCGAAAAACTATAATTTGTTCAAAGTATTAGGTATATATACTACATTGGATCGGTTAAAAAAAATCGATAAGGTAAAACGGTCAAGTTTTCAAGTGATATTCATGAAATGTTCATAAAAATGATTTGTTCGACCGAAAGAGTTTGTAACGAAAAAGCCAAAGGAAACTTGTACTTTATCGGAAAAATAACCAATCGAATAACTATCCATTTAAATTGTTACCTTCAGTGCACGGTTTTGGATTTAACGATACGTCCGCATAAGAGCGCTGGCGGCGAAAAAAAACACGGAAAGATGTGATTTGGTCGAAACACCAATACGTTTTTCGCTTCGCTCAATGTCTCAGATAAAAATGTGGTCAACGGTACGAGGATGCGTGCGCGAGAGAATTTTTTTTCTTTATTTTTCCATTACGTGCGTGTGTGCGTGTGTTGTGCGCTTTCCTCGGGTCAATAATTTATTCACTGGTTTTGTTGTTCTCCGGCCGTCGAAATCGAAAAGCTTTCGCATGCTTTGCCAAACACTCGGACAGCGGATGACCGCAGAGGGTGGTTATTGGTAGTATCTAGGGAACTTGGGCCCGTTGACCGCCGCGGCCCGGGTTGGGTAGTAGGAGAACGACGACGACGACCGCGGGCGCCACTTCCTCCGGTGGCGGTTGGTTCGCAGTCGACGGCACGACCACGACAACGCGTCCGTCGTGATCGATCCGCCTCGGCTCACGGCCATCTCGACGATCATCACGGCCACGGCTACGGCCACCGAAAGCCCGAACACCACCATTAAGCCGTGCACGTGACCGATGGTCACGCCGATGCTGTCCGCCTCCGTGTACGTTCGGTCCTTGAACGCCCGGGACAACCATTTCTTTTGCAAATAGTCCGCTATGCCGTTGGTGAACAGCGACACTAATCTGTGACAGATGGCACCGCAGTGTCATAAATACAAGATCTGTGGGGGTAGGGGTGGGGGTGGAGAGAAGGGCCTATCCGAACCGGGATGTCGATCATTGTACGTGAATGTTTTAGGAGTAGTCGTTGGAAATCCATTCGATTATTACGCATCATGATTTCGCGAGTACGTCGGAGCAGCGGGATTAACGATTTTTAGTTTCTTGTTTGTGTTAAGCTTTTTTTAACCGAGTTGAAGCAACGTTTTTTAAAACATAGATTCTTTAATCGCGCAACGGTGCAACGGATCCAACGTTAAACTTTTAATGTTGAACAAAATCCATTAGCTATTAGATATAGTTAGATGTTAATCGATATTTACATACTCGTTGATTGTACCGCGAGTTATGTTCGATAAAAAATGATGTGTACACGAGGAGGTTTGATTAAACGTTGTTCAATTGTTAAGTTGAAAAAATCGCTTTAAGTGTTTTTTAACAGGACATTCACGATTTACGGTATTGATGCAAAATCTTGCTGTTATAACAATTTAATAAACTCCTAAACTATGTATTTATACGCGGCTGGAAAATCGATTTATTTGAACTCATTAAGTTAATATTTATGAAATCAGAAGTTAAATATAAAGGTTAAATATAAATAGTTTTAACTTATTTACAACGTTTAAATAAATCACCTTCACGCGAAGAAAAATAGATTGCATAAATATTCGTATAAAAATAGGTTAGTGTAGTAACTTAATTAGTACTTATCTAGTACTTAATTAGTATTAAAATTTAATTAACTGAAAAACAATTCGAGGTTTTGGAACAAAATTAGCATTCCGAGTTAAAAATTATAAATAATAAATGACATAATACATCTTATAATTCTCGTTTTGCGATCCAATTAAATTCAAGTAAATTTTAATCCTTCAACTACTTTATATCCAGTACTGCACACATGTAAATATACATTTTTTTTATGCAATACTTTTGAAAGATGGAGGGATTGAGTTAAACTCAGGACGAAAGAAAAATGTAAATCTAATAACAAAGGAGGTGGAATAAATAGCAATACTTTTCCCCAGGGGGTCAAGGGAGACATAAAGGAACATAGTCATTTCACCTCCAATGTCGTTTAAAAAACGTCCACTTATACAATATCACCAACATTCTTTAACTAATTTGGTGACATACGGAACGTTCAAAATGATTAAGTGCGGTAGTCTTTTCTATTTACTTTTGCCACTTTAAGGATTGTTTGTTTTGGATTACGAGATTGATATTTTAGTTATTTAACGATATGTATAGAATTAATGCACGGATACATCTAGATAATTTAAAGTATGGTCAGTAATAAATTATTAATGAAAATGAATGTATTATACCGTCAATGATTAATTTTAGTCAAAACGTAATCATTTACTAGCTAATGTTAAGATTTACACTGTATCACACTCAATTGAAGTTAACAGTATCAAATTTTTTTTTTTTTTTCAGGGCCGTATTTAGGGAGAAGCTATTGTACTTTAGCAGGGTACTGTTGCCCCGGGTGGCTGAATATGAGAGGGTGGCTAATTTTTTTATATTTTCAATATTTAATGATCTAATATTTTTGAAGTAAAACTTCTTTACAAAATAAAAAGTGTATCTAAAAAAAAAATATATATCGCCAATCACGGCATCACGGCATACACACACACACAAATACACACACATACTCGGCAACGGTCGAGTATTGTTGATAGATCCAAAGATTTACAAACAATCTATCCTTATGTTGACATTCCACTTAGAATATTTTTGTGTGCACCAGCAACGAATTGTTCTTCAGAAAGATCTTTTTCAATCCACAGAAATTTGTATTTGGTATAATGAGACGTTTTTTATTATTGCTTACTGGTGTCAAATTCCTAAATACAGCCCTGCATGAATGTTCCCTAAACTATAATTATTTTATAATTATTTTAATCGTCTCCAGGAAAAATGATTAAATGATTTTTTTTAGTAATTCTGAAAACGTGATATGTCAAAAGGAGAAAAAAACATTAATTGGTGGATTGACGTAATAGTAAAAGTGAGGGAATATATAACGATATATCTCCTTAAAATTGTTCGCAATCATGACTCAATGTTTTTTTTCAGTGTCGATAATTTTAATTGTAAATCATGTGGAGAATTAAAATAACTTAAGTAGTTGTAAAAGTAGTATCACTTCGAATCCGAACACTGGCTTGGATAAGCTTTGAATCTGCCACTGGTTTGGAGAACAAATACCCAAGATTTGGTGTACGGTCCGTTTTTAAAACCATCCCTAGAGAATGAAACTTTAAGTCAGTACATCTATGTCGTCACATGCGATATGTACTACCTATACGCATTACAGTATTGTTGTTGAAATACCGTAGATCGATGAAAACGGTTTTTTTTCTTTACTTTAATTTTATTGTAACCATGATTTATTGTCTTGACGACCTCAATTGTTAAGTAAAACCGACGGAGATTAACTTACAAAAATACTTCTTAATAGCAAGTGAGTCGTGCACTGCGATCGGTCATAATTTAATCTGAACTGGGAACAGTTGAATTGCTCTTAGTACCCAATTCTTTATACATGAACGGTTTCATCCAGGCAAAATTGAATTATAATTGAACTGTATTCTAAGCAGGAATTAGTCAAAGTATACTAGATTTCGAAAATAACTTATTACCGATGGATGGTTCGCTTACAGATACTCGCAATGTCATAGTTCGGATATTATAGAAAATAATCCTTTTTTTAACCCAATTTCGAAAATGATATTTTTATATTCCTATGCCCATTAAACGAAATAAAATAAATGCAGTTCGATCTCACTCGAAAATACAATAAACAGTCCAGTTGATGGCTCTAAGACCTTGGATTACCTGCATATGAGGTTTTATCCAAATATATTTTATTAATATTGATCAATCTGAATAAATCGCATTTAGTTAAAACTCGTTCTTCAGTTTCGTTATAAATGAAAAAAAAATAACGTAGCTGTAAAAACAATTATTGAACACTTTATTATTATTTTTGATGATAATAAATTTAGTTCTAACCATTGACGACTGTACAAGGATTCCAATTCGGATCTAGAGACTCGTGGAACATACCATAAATACGTAGCCTAACCCTATCTAGCGGATGTATTGCTGTGTCGTCAAAGCCAGCCGACGAGCAATGGATCGCGCTTGTACATTCATGTTACATATATACTTTTTATGAAACAAATAGCCTATTTTATTAATATCGTGTCACGAAAAGTTATTATCAATATTAGAGCAAGAATATTCGTAGAACATTTCATTGTTGTAACAATGTGGACGAAAAATACAACACTTCGCTATTTTTCAAGTATTACGAAGAACGCAGTCCTGTAATGTATTCAAAACAATTAAGTGTATTGATATTATTTTACAATCGAAACTACTCAAAAAGTTTAAATAAAAGTATCTGCAAAATCCTATTCAACATTTTGGTAGTTAAACAATATAGTTGAAACAACGGAATGGGTCTATGTCGTATGAGCAAGTACATAATTTTAATTTAAAATTTTCTTCAACAACATTAATTATGCATCACGCCTTTGCGGAGACCACCACGATCATATGGTTCAACATTATTCGATACATTTCACTATAGTTATTTTATCATCTAAGTAACGTATGAAAAAATACGATGAAAAAAAAATTTATTGTATTAAAATGGTGTTTCTGAGAGAATACTTGGTTAACTATTTTGTCAAATTTTTATATTATTATTTTTTTTTATAAATTTATAATTTATTTTTATTTCAATATATTTTACTTGTTTCACTAGAAATAAGAAATCTGTAACAAAAAAAAAAAAAATGTATTAAACGCTCTAGGAAAATTATTAAAAATGTATAATTCAGTGAAGAAATTTAATTTAATAAATAACAGCTATTAACTATAATTAAATTAAATTACTACAGGCATGAAGTCAAACAAGTAAATCGTATAGGTAGTGGATATATATTATAAAGTTAACAATTTAAAAAAAATGCTAACTCAAAATAGCAAAGTATTAGATTTATAAGTATTTTAGTAATAATAAGTGTTAAGACAATAAATTCTGTGAAATTGATTGATCGCTAATATTGTACAGAATGCAAATAAAAATAAAAACCTCACCATCATAACACATATTTTATATTTTAAACTTTTTTTTTTATTTCTGTGTATTAATCTAAAATTGAACTAATGGTCTATTATTAATATAAAATATTAAATTTATGGTTTAGTAAGGAAAGGCAACCTAAAAATACTCAATAAACGATACCTCTCTCTGCTCGTTGTGTCTATACTTTACATTTTGAAGTTAATAAACAGTTAATCCTAGCCTATTAGATTGGATCGAAAATAATAATGTTTATAAACTGAAATTATAGGGTGCCATATGAAAACCGATCGTTTGTAGAGGGAAAAGAAGAAATACAATTGTTAAGGTTAAAAAAAAATACAAATACTGTGGTTAAAAATGTTCCATCAACAATAATTTCTATTACCAATGTTTTCTTAGACGTGACACGGTTTGGTTTAAAAAATTTGTTTTTAAGTACATTACCATGAAATGTTCGTAGTGAATAGAAACAGTTTTATGCGCATGGCGCGCCATGGCGCAATAAAAATATGTTATATTTATCTACTGATTGTGTTACTAATTTATTTTTTACCTCTTTTGAAAATAATGGCTAATCAGTACTAGTCATTACATAGTATTTAGATGAAAAGCATACCAAATAAGTATTAATTTTTCTGTGAATACTGTTTAGAAATTTTATGTTCTTCCGGAGTGATGAACGACGTGATTTTAGTAATGAAAAATATTGTTTTTGTTATATTGATTATCACTAGCTAGATAGTTTGAAAGTATTTTAGATTTTAGGAAAACTAACTTCGCAGTAACTGCAATGTTGAACAACTTTCGTTAATACATGAACAACTAACTTTTTACTCAACTAGTTCCTTGTTTTTCTTTTTCAGTACACATTTCGCCGAAAACTATCTGAAATTCAGTTAGTTTAAGCTAGATAAACACGGTGTAATGTGTTAATGTATTATGCATGTGCCGTGGAAAAGTCTGTTCGATGTACGTACTTCTTGCTTCTTTATTTCCTACGGGTTAATTAAATCGATCAATCATTTTTATTGTTGTAGCCGTTATAGGTGGTTTTATAGTTCTCGTAAATTTCCGTGACACATGATTATTGTCAGTTGCATACTCCACAACTTGTAAGGAAAAAATTCTATATATATATATATATATATATATATATATATATATATATATATATATATATTTATGTATATAGCTAAAATTTATCAGAGTAAAGCGTATCATGTATAACTATAAAAAAAAATAATGGATAAATTTCCACGAACCCCGGAGACGTTAAAATTATCGATAATCTGCGGAAAATTAATGTAACATATCCATTCAAGCGTATCTTATGTATGGATAATAAATAAATAATAATAATAACTTGTAAATTTACTGGGACGAATCAATCGCACTGTCATAGGTGTAACTAGGGGACTTGGAGGGAGGCTAAGCTCCCCCAATATGAATTTTAGCCCCCCCTGTCAAAGTTCTTAGTCTTGCTAATGGTAGCTACATTTTTAATTTTAATTTATAATATCGTTTTATTTTTTTTTTTATTAATATCTAGGAAAAATATTTATTTTTTTTGGTTATACGTATCATTGTAATACAATTATTAATAACTTGTGGTAACAATTAAGGAGTAACGAAATATTAATGAAATTGACTCAAAATCAGAAATTTTAGTTGCAAAAAATTGTCATGACAATCAATTGGAAAATATTAACAATCAAGAACTTTTAAAGCAACTAAAAAATCTGAAAAATCTGTTTTTCCAAATTTATACAAAATGCTACATTTAGCGCTTGCAGTTCCAACAAGATCCGCATCTTGTGAAAGAACATTCTCGCAATGCGTCGAATAAAACACCTACATAAGTTCAACTATATTATCAAATCGATTTTCCAAGTTAGCACTCATAGCAATTGAGAGAGATTTGTAAAACACTCTAAACAAAGAAGACATTTTAAATAAATTTGCCAATACTGAGCGGAGGCTTAAGCTGTAATAGTTATAAAATTCCTTTAGGTTTTTAATTTTTAAGAAAATTTAACTTGTATCTAAAATAATACTTAATAAATATGTTAATATTTTAACGTTTATCTTAATATCACATTTTTTATTATCTGTCTTATACATTGTTTATTAATAAATTAATATTATAATTTAATAATGAATATTACTTGAGGAACGAATTTGGGGAGTGTGGGGGCAGATCCGCCCACATTTTTTACTTGTTTTAAATATGTAAGGGCTGAAGTCCCTCCTAATTTTAGGATCTAGTTACGCCTATGTGGACTGTAGGGAGAAAAACCAATAGCCCGAGAAATACTTACGAACAAGTTCTTACATTATTATCAATACTGTAATCTATGATTGGACTTGTCAAAACCGTTCCTATGTATGTAACATTTAACGTGTACGCAACAATACTAAATATTTTGACTTTGTTTCGCAAGCCTTAAGAAATGTCAAATTTACATAAAACGTTTACGGATACATAGATCGTTGAAAAAATAAGTATCTACCTATCAATGGTTAATAAGTACTAAACCCGTCTGCTATGGTAATCATTATTTCTAATTTTATTTTGCGGGGCTTATCAATTGCGAAGTAGAATCCCAAATACTTATATGGGATTTGAAGAAACTAGATATATCGATGAAAATACATTTCGCTCTCATCACTATTAGTTCGTCCTCGAAATCGACTATCGCAATTGATTGAACTTACATCGAAACGAGTGAGAATCCTTTGATGTTCTAAAAAACATGATCAAAAGGATCCACGGCTCTTGGTCGCGGTTCGGGACAAAAAATAATTTTCGGAGTAGACCCTGAGAGCCGGGAGAAGGTCCGTCCACGTCAACCACCTACAGGGATGTTAAACGTGCGACGATTCCGAGCTGTACCAAGCTTGCCCGCAGCTACGCGTTGGATATGACCCACTCCGTTAAGCACCCCCGTACATTTATCATAAGAACCTTTTAAAAAAAAAATTTCAGCGTATACGTTACATTTGGTTCATCTTCGACGTGTAAGGGGATCCCTTGGTAGTCAACAGAGACGCGTAGGCGACCGCGTGCCGCCCGGCCAATGAGACCACCCGGCAACCGTTCTGTGCGGCCATGGCCCTAGCCATCACGTTTGGTGTCTCCAGCACCAGCACGTTTTGATCGCTACACACGGTCTTGGCCATCACTTCGATGTTCCCGTTTTCGTACTGCGGACATGGCGGCTCGTTCAAAAGTCCTCTCCACTTTTCCATCAACATCACGTCCGTCTCCTTCGCCTGCATCGTAATTATGACAACACCGTTGGTTTTTTTTTTTAACGTCCAACCGTGGTTACGATTGGTCGCAACATTAATGTGCACGTGGTAATGGGACAATGAGTTTAAAGTCAAGCAGTGAGTGAAATGGAAAGCGCAATGCGAAAAGCGGACGAAGGACGATCGAGATCCGCCAATCAATCGTTATATGGTGCACACACGGGTTTCATGAATTCAGAAATCGTCCTCAGGATTTTTCGGGCCTGGGGCAATAAATTCGGCGCCCCATCTATCATCGCATTAGTATATGAGTAAGATAAAAAAATATACACTAAGTTTGCAACATTTTGGTAAGTATCAGTGGCGCATGTAAGTTTTCATTTCGGAGGGCGCAGATTATGTATTTGATTTTTGGGTGGAAAGGAAGGAGAAAGCACACTATACAGAAAATAAAAACTTAAATGCTGTCACATCGATACTTGTGATAACGAATTTCTACGTAAATTCAGATAAAACTATGCTGCCATTCTTCAAACTACGGCAATGACCGTAATAAATGATAAACATATTTATTTAGAACAGTGGTTCTCAAACTGTGGTACGCGTACCCCTTGGGATACTCGACATTTTTTAAAGGGTACAAGTCTGGCCAACAAACTTTTAAATTTAAATAGTGGAAAAAACTCCAAAATTCAAGTTAACATTTGCGAATTTCAGGCTTAAATAAACTAACCGTTTATTTCATCATTGATTAAACGCATCTGTTGCTATACCAAGTACACAGTCGAATATATTAAAATTATATTGGCACGACATTAAGCTATGCTAGGGTTGCCAATCGTATTACATTGGACAGGACTGTCCAACATTTGTTTGATTTGTCCTACGTTCAACAATGCTATAAACTTTTTATATGTCAATGATGATTGAGGCAATCATCATGCATGAAAAGTGCCGCATACAAGGGAGGATGTGGGGATCAGATCCCCCCCCCAGGCTCTTTTTTGAATGTTTATAATAATGTTCTTAGTGTGAGGGCGTTAGAAACGTAAAAAAAAATGAATGATAAAATAAAAATAATGACTTGTTTGAAAACGATCCCTCCCCAAATACAAAAGTTATGTATACGCCAATGTGCATGTATAATAATAAAATATATAACCTTGAACAGCAGATATGCAAAGCTTGAGCGTCTCACGCAAAGTACGTGCGTTTTCATTCTGGCCACAGAGTCCAACGTCGGAATGGCTAAGCCGGACTTGTCGACGGTCAACCGGGAAAAAAGCACAGCCGAGTACGACGTGCTGATGCACAGTCCGAACAGCAACGTGACCCACGACACGACACGCACGGAACAAGCGTTGGTGTTGACGGTGTGAAGTCCTCGGAACAAAAGTAATTATTATTATTGTTATTACTATTATTATTAATAACAATAGTGATATACTATATTCTACAACGACGAATTCGGATGAGAAATATTGACAGTTCGTCTGAGGAGGTCTTCAATCAAAAGACAGAGATTCTATATTTGTGATATTGTAATTCTGTCACGGGGAAACGTGAAACAATCGAATAAAGATTTATCGTACAACTGGTCAAACATCAAAATTGTCATTTTTATTGCACTACTATTTTTATTGTTCTATCTCATAATTAGTATAATACATTATGATATGGATTTACACGTCTCATTTGTGTATTTAACGATTTTTAAATCTTCAAATAATTTTGGTTATAATATTTCGTCTGCTATAAATGTGGTTTTAATATTGTCGAATCACCCATAAAAAAAAACCCACCTTTTGAATAAAGGAAACGTATCAAATAAATCGTTCAAATAAATATGCATGTGAATACCATTGGCATTACTTCGGGAAGGGGGGGACTCGTGTATTCGCAACAGTCATAAGTTCATTTATTCCTAAGTCGGCACATTATCAAAATACAAATAAATCATTTATAATGATAAGTTGTAAATCAGAAAAACGAGACGTTTACTTTTCGGGTACTCGCGTACAAAGTAAAAATCATTATATTTTTGAACTGAGTTGACGTTTCCCTCGCCCCACGTTAATCGTCATTTTGGTAAAATGAGCCGCCGAGCAGACGATTTAACAAGAGCACGCCTACCGCCCTATTCTAGAAAAAACTGAAATTACGCCACTGAAATATACATATCATAATTGCGGCGATCATCGTAGACAGAAAAAAAAAAGATAATTATTTTTATTGTGGTTTGGATGTAACATTGTATTGTTAAAGGTACCTTGACTGCAAATCGATCCCCACACGACGAAGAAATAAGATGTCAGGCTGAGAGATTCGTCCGCCGTGTCATCAGTCGACATATTGGAAAAGTGTCTGAGGAAATAAAAAAACACTCATATTAGTAATTCAATGTCGGAAATCGAATTGACGTGCCACGGTAAATATAAAATGTACGTACATTTTTTCACGAAGAACCAACGCAATATTACTAGCGACGAATATTAAAATGCGCCGAGCGTATTTTCTACAAAAACTATTACCTACCCAAGACGAATTTGAAGGAAAAAGTACATAATTAGATTTCGAGTAAGCAGATGTCGACGAGTCTTCACATACCACGTAGCTTATACGCGAATAAATTCAAGGTCGCCGAAAACTACTAGTGATATAATATATTGATTACAATCTTAAATGCTATTTTCCGATATTCCATAAATATTTCCAACAAATAGAAAAATAAATGGAAAATAATGACTATTACTCATATTCCTATAGCAAGCATTATTATTTTTTTGCTAGTAAAACCAATGATTTCGTTTATGACGTACATTTTTATCTCTCACTATTTTACTAAATTGTAAAAATGCAGAATATTTGATTAGAAAATTGTTTTTAAAAAAATGGATGTAGTTTAAAATATATTAAAATTAGGTATTTAAGTGAAACGGTATTTTTTTTTCTAACCGTTTAAATGTTGTTTTTGTTAACATTTGTTTAATTGTTTTTACAAAATAATTATCTACGTACATATTTTTAAAATATAATTGTATTTACTATAGTGTATTTGTTACATGATCTACTTGTTACGAACACATAAAATCCTTAAATATTATATAAATGTTACACCAGAAATTCTTAATCTTTTTCGGATCATAGACCCCTTAAAGATAAAAAGTACGGTCACGGCATCTCTTTCCACTTCAAAAAGGAAATAATTGATTTTTTTCTAATATATTAAAACCGATCACTATTATTTATTGTCTTATAGTATTTATGGTACTATATATATAGTATTATATACTATAGTATTTATGTTATTATTTATGGTAATAATTTATTTTGGCTAAGAAATCAGTACTGTTTTTTTTTCAATGCTATAAATATTATCTTATCATTGCCTTCGAACGTATAAATGTAAGGCTTCTTAAACAACAAGCGAACAAAGAGCTTCAAAAATTTGGTATTTTATGGGCCGTTCATAAATACAATAAAGGTAATTTCTTAAGGTTATTTCTTCGAGGAAAAAAGACAAATTTAAAAAGAAAAACCCGGAATTTTAAACGGTCAGGTGACAAATGCAGGCGTGGGATCGATGCTCAAGTTAGTAGCATGGAACCTATAAGATCCTGGTACAAAGCTCGCGGTCTTCATAGAGGGGTGAAAAACATTGCGTTTACACACACGCTCACATAGCGAGGGCACTTGCATACGCAACACGTACTGTATAGTACAAAGGTCCACAGTACACACTATTGATTTTACCCCACTCCGTATGCATGTTTCAGACCCAGTGTATACAAACGTTAGCAAAGGTTACATTTGCATATACAAACTCGAATAAATTTCTTACGATCAGGAACGCTACCACTTGAAACGAATGACCAATTCGATGTGAATACGATTGTAAGCGGTTTATTCACCCTTAAACCGCTCGGCAATGGTCATTTGGGATTTTCGGTAAAACTTTTAAAAACTTTTCGTGCTTGTTAAGCTCTGTAGAAAAATGTAGTTTTTCGTGCATGCTACAATCGACAATTACTGTTTTATTTGAATATAATATAGATGATTCGAACTCGAAGTGGGAATAAAATAAAATAAAATTATAATTTATTTGATGATAAACTAAAAAAAAAAAAAAATAATTTAATTTAAGTTATCTTATTTAAGTAGATCCGACTATATTAGTTTTATATACACGTTTCAATGTGATAGGAACAATGCTGCTTTAATAATGTCGTTGCGGTGGGTTTTATTTGAACCCTGTTTTAAACGTTTCTGTAGGTGCTGACCGTATTTGAATCAATGCATTTTGTGGTTTTGTGGTGAAATTTAGGTGTTCCATGAGATTCACAAGTATTATAAATCGAAAATCATTCTAATATGCATCATGGATGTGACGTAAAAATATTTTTCTTACAGTTATCGTAATTTTCCATTCCATGATGACTGTTTAATATATAAAACTCGTAATTACTTTTTACTTCAAACAATTGTTTTGCTCCTAACGGTAATGAAACTTTTACAGTATCTGCACACGTAACGTGTTCAAATTAAAATAGTCGATTGCCAATCAGCACACGGATTACAATATTTTAAGTTATTTGAAGTTTTGATGAAACGTCTATATTGAGATTAACATTTATTCAACTATCTTGTGTAGAACAGCGGCCAAATTTAAATTATTTGTCTACAAGACCTATCGAGACTTACGGGACTGCAGGCTTGTTAATAATTCTATACACCTTTTAAAATAAGAAAAAAAAAACCAATTAAATATGTTGTACACATTTTTGACTGCGCATGTTATACACACCGTTACTGCGCGTGTCGTTCCACGTCGCATACGTTTCAACTAAAATCAAATACTTTTCTGTTTTTAATTTCGATAGAATTTCCCGAAACGTAATCGTTGGAGTGGTTTCGCGCCTACGGATCCGATTCGGAAAACCGTAAGTGCCCGGACGTCAGCGTAGCAGTGTCAAGCCGGTAGACGTATATTTTTCGATCGTCCGAACGTCATTGGTCGTAGCACGTGCACGTTAGGTTATGAGAAACGTGTCGAAGGTAGAAAAAAAAACGTCGATAATGCAGTGGGTTACCTATATGATTACACAACTAGTCGACTGTCCGGACGGTAATTACGCGCACGCTATGCGGTAGCAGATAGACGGGAATCGCAGCGCATCAATAGCGCATAGTACAATACTGAACACGGATCCCTGCCCATAACGGCGAGCTTTTTTATTATGAATGATTATACCACACCATTGCAGCACGTGCACCAGGGGCGGATATTGGGAGAGGGCAAGTCAGCCGACCTACAGTTAATGTTTTTGTTGACAAGATCGACCTGTCGGAGACTTTTTATATTTCTCGAGTGCCTATAGGAGAATTAAACACCAAACTGGGGCAAATGCCTCGATTACCATCCTCCGAACGACGTCACCGGTTTAATTGCACAGTAAATTAACACATCTCTATAGCACGCGAGAATCTATTCTTCTGATGCTATTGCATTGTATTAACGTACACGTACCGTTAAATTTTAAAAAGATACAAACGTAAGGTAGGAGGGAGGTTGTACGATTAATGAAAAATGTTAAAACGTTTGACCTGCACCCGAACCTGGTTTTCGCGACGAACCACATGCACATGACGATCAGGAACATGGTCAATACGAACGCTATCCATACTTCCGGACTCCAGGTGACCAAGTACGACATCGAAGTGGCCCGGTTGGCGGTATACTTCGAGTACAACTCGTACCTGCACAATGAAGACAATTAATTATTAATGTTATTATATCGCACAGTGAAATGTTGTGCGCGCGGTGGTGGTGATGGTCAGTGCTGTGACTAGATTACTCGAGGGCTGTTTGCAAATCAAAATCTTGAGGTTCCTAATCATTATACAATGCAATAATCCAGAAAGATGCGGAGCAAGGGGTATTAGTAAAGTTAATAAATAACATTTGGTTTCATTTAAATAAATCGTACGTTGATATTTTCATGCCGGTCATTGGACTTTTGAGGCCCCGTGATAAAATATGAGACCCGAGGTCTGTGTGCAGTGTACACTTTGCACCAGTGGCGTATTTATGGGGGGGGGGGCGAGGATATCCTGGGCCCCCTCCGAAATGAAAAACACCATTGTTAAAGATCGTTATTTTTAACATTAATATGTCTTAATGCTGGGGGTTTCCGAAAATTTGTCACAACACTGAGAATGTTGCTTAGGTATGCGATAATTTAAAATTTAATATTTATAATATATGTTTATTCTTTTAAGAAAATATGTGGTGAATTTTGAGTGACTCTAATAAAAAATTTGTTTATTATAATATTTTTATACTTTTAAAAATAATAAATCATTATAAAAATTGAGTTTCTTATTTCCAGTGTTGGGAATAAATAATGCAAAATTTATCTAGATAAAGATAATAGATAAAAAAATTAAAATATCTAGATAAAGATAAAAGATAATTTCATTTTTATCTAGATAAAAAAAAAGATATTTTCAAAAAATTTTATTTTTTGGTCAATATTTCATATTCTAATAATATCTATGAAGACTCAATTATAATCATTATTATCAATAGGTACCTAGGTATTTAATGTTTATTGTAGTAATATAGTGTGCTATTAAGCAGTATTTATATATAATGTACAATATTTAATGATAGTTAATCACTAAAATTTTATACAAAAAAAAAAAAATGAAAATTACTTTGAACGTATCAGGATGAATACAGAATACATAAAAAATTATTTTAAGTTAACAAAATTTTTTTCCATATAATATTAATTTGATGATTTTCATTATTCTATAAGTAGTTACGACTTTAGGGGTTCCAAGAGTGAAGTAATAACTATTCAACGTATGAGTGACATGTGTATACTAAAATCAAATACCTACTATATTTGGAACTTTCGTGGAAAAATAAGAAATTAAGTTTAAAATATCAAAAATATTTTCGCGACATGAAAATAAAAACAAAATGTCATACAAAGAAATAATAATTACTCATTAATAATACATGAATATAAAATCTATATGTATGAAAGAAAATCAGGTTAGTTACAGAATTTATAATTCAAGAACAACTGGACCGATTTTGATCTCTGGTTTGTTGGATTCGTCTCCGTACAAGAATAAAAATAACTCTAATCTTGGCAAGAATATGGACAGTTATCTAGATAAAATTATCTAGAAAAGTAAAAATTTTATCTTAGATAAGTAATTAGATAACTTAGCGTTATTTATCTAGATAAGATAAAAGATGACAAAAAATATATCTAGATAAGTCCCAACACTGCTTATTTCTCTGATGGTGTAAAGACAGTCGAGAAGTATTATAGTGTTAAAGTAATTTTTTTCCTAAAAGTGTGCTTCCTCCTTCTCTTCCACCCAAAAATCAAATACGTAATCGGCCCCCTCCGAAATGAAAATCTATATACTCCACTGCTCTGGACACCCGGTTTTTACGGCACTGGTGGTGGTGGATGATTGCTTTTTGTGAGTAACGATTCGGCACGATAGAGCAGTGATGGGAATTATTCGACCATTCGAATATCAGTATTCGATGCTACGATACAATACGTAACGAAAATTATTCATTGAAGTTTTCGCACAACACAAAACGTGTAATAATAATAGGTATTGTAGCATCGAATACTGATATTCGAACAATTCAATTATTCGAATATACACTACGTCTCTTCGATAGAGATCAATAATCCATTTATACAAGTATAACAGCTGAAAAGCTTAGGTCCTCCGATTTCGTCGAACTAATATTCGATGGCTGAATCGTATTCGATCGTGTCGTCATCACACAGTTGTTCTATCGAAAATATTTTTAAGTCCACAATATTTGCCGTGCTTATTTTCAGTTGAATTTTACCGGTTCGTTACCTACCGATAATACTCGTAATACGATATAATAAGAATGTGTTTTAATCATGACGATCGCACACTCATCTCGGCCGGATCAGTAATCATACGGTCAAAAATGTGTTCATTAAAAATTTAAAATTTTCTGTTGTCGATGATATTTTAGAAAAGCTTAAATATCTATGAAAATATGTATTATTATATTTATATTATTCACAAGTAGTTTTATATTTAAATTTTTATCGAACCACCAATGGTACATCAAAGTTTCTAATTCTGAGCAGGGGCGAACGAAGGAAAATAATTCGACGGAGGTTTTAAAAAAATGTAGGTCAGGTCATTTATTGTATAACATATTTTCTGATATTTCGGTGAAGGGGTTGGACTCCCACCCTATGTTCGCACCTAACTCTGACACGTATATTATATTGTAATGCATAAATAATATTTCGTAGAAACAAGTTGTAAAAGTGAAAGAATTTCAATTCAAAACGAAGATATCTAAATACGATTATTTTTTTACTGCATCAAAATATTTGTTCGACATTGGTCATTGGTATAATTATTTTGAAATGGCAAGGGAAACCCTATAATTATTCCCTTTGGGCTACTATAATTTTGAAGCAGTTAAAATATCAAATAAAAGATATAAAAAAATTATAAGAACCTATATTATTTAACATCTACTATATTTATTGCGAGAACGATTTTGCATCACACACGCACGCAATGGAACGGCAAAATATCGTTTGCGTACGGCCAGCCGCGTAGTATCTGCAGATTTTCTGGGGTCCTTAACTGAGGATCCTTTTAACTTCTAACTTTTTGTACTTGCTTCGGCAGTACATATACTAAATTGGGTCCTTAACTTAAGATCGTTTAAATAAATCTCGAACAAAATATTAAATGTTTTGAAAACGGTATAGGTACCCATAACATTGATTAAATATACATAAATGGTGAAAT